CGGGACGGAGGGACTCGGCGTGACCCATCAGATGGAGTATGAGGCCGGCCTTTCCCCTTTGAACCGTGTTGCTACCTTAGGGCAGCCACCTCCCATTCGCTATGTGGCCTGGCAGAAGCTGAGCCCCAACGCGCGCGTAATCCCCGAGTGGTGTTTGAGAAGCTGAGAGCGTTTCATCTTCTACTGGCACTCCACTGGCTCCCGACCACATGTGAATGGGACATGCTTTGATGTTTCTTGACGCCACTCGAAGCGGCTGCACCAGAAGGACGAATCAAAGGGATGGACACAGCAGAGGAATGGATGACGAGTCCAATCTAGACCAATTGTTTTAATTTCCAGCAATATTAAGGCCGCGTTCACTAAGCGGGCTGTGAGGGCAGTGTAGAACTCTACGTTAAGGTACGCCGGGAGAAAAGGGGGGCTGGGACATATTCAACCCCTTTAGGATGGACCGAAGGTCTAAAAATACGCATAAAAGACTGATCATGGGTTAGAATTCGTACTGACATAAACTTATTCGCGCTACTACCAAAAGTGAAACCAGGGGCAAAAACTGTTGCGAAAGATGAAGGTTTACAACTTGTTTGGCGGACTCTCTTATAGTCCGAAAAATGTGGGTTTAGCCTGGGTTCAACACCGCCCTAAAATATCAAACGCCCTCCTAGGCGTCCCCCTGCTTCTCAGTGTCGGCGTTTTGGGCTTGATTTGTCCCGAATTTCCGGATTACCAACCAGGCTGGAAACAAAGATAAGCCCCAAAGCCCAAAGTTGAGGTAAGTGCTGCCGACGGAGGCGAAGATGGGGACTGCACCCAACCCATAACTGATCGCCTGCCAAGCCGATTCAGTGCCTCTCAGTAGAGCCGATAAGCGAATGGTTTCTTGGGGGTTTGACGATAATTCTCCGATGATGAAGAAGGCAAAGTTGTAGTTCAGTTGAAATCCCGAAACCAGAAAGACGAAGACTCCGAACGCTCGACCGAATCCAGGATCACTCCAGTCATACACTGGCTGCGTGCGTCGGAATTCCGTGACGTTGATGGTCAGCCAAATCCACCACGCTCCCTGGAGCGTCATGATAACGGCAAAAGCCCACCGAGCTCGTTTCTTGAGTGCGATTTGAGCCTGGTCCAACCATAGGCCGAGAAGATTCCCAGCAATGACGGCGACAATGCCCGAGACAAATGATCCAAGGGCTCTTGCCCGGACGCTGAACCAAAGTGCAATGTATGTGAAAAAGACGGCTTCTGAGTACACTGCCTGGCCAATCCACAAAATGAGAAGCAGGAACTCCACGCGTAAGAATGTTTTCGTAGTTGCCTTGAACTCTTGCCATGGGTGGTCGAAGATGGAGAGCTCGACCTGTTTGCCATCTGATCGCTGGACCTGCGACGGGCGATTGAGCAGCAGCGCCACGAAAGGGCCGCAGCATTGAAGCCCTATGAATATCAAGTAGACGTTGTGCGATACCTTTCCAGCCTGGTCTCGATCCGCATTCATACCCAAGTTGATCGCGCCACCTAGGATTTGGCCAAGTCGAGTCCAGGTCAACCAGTACGCGACCATTCTCCCTCTGTTCTTTGGCTCCGGGTAAGTGATTCCGATAGCAGCTTCGGCCGCCCAGAATATCCCAGCCGAAACACCACAGAGTGCAGCACCAAGGATAACCAACCACTCAACCCCGTACCGGTTATTCAGGTATAAGCCCGCGCTGTACGGTGCGAACCCGATGGTTCCTACGACGAGGGCACCCTTGATACCGATGTATTTGACAATGCTGCTGGTGGCCCAACAAGACAGCACCATTAGACAGAACGTGAGTGCATTGCCGGTGTTGACGAGGTACGGCTTTTGTGCGCCTCCTGCACCCAAGGAATTCATCGCTCCCCATAAACCAGGCGCAGCAAAGCTGCATATTCCGAGAATGGTTGCATTGTATGTAGGCGAGCGGTACCACTTCACTATCCAGGTGTTAATAATCAGCCACCAGAAACGGTAATGCGCAGATACTCACCTGGATGGTTTTCGATTTCGGCAGTCCTAGCATTGTCATGCGGAACATCTTTCCCGTCCGACATGACTTTGAGCGACCTAACGCACGCAGGCCGGAAGTGCTCAGCTTCAGTATTCGACGAGAGAATTAAAGATAAAGACAATACCGCCAGTTCAGATGTGCTACTAAATGGTGAATATTCAAATTTCTGTTGATTAAATTTTTCAGAACTGGTACGCTCATATATACCAGTTGATCAACATTGGGTCCACAGTAGGTTACCTGTAGCACGGCTTGGTGTAGTCACACAATCACGCAATAGAACCCCGGCAATCAAACATGCCCACAGGGCCTTTTCGTCACTTGATTGTAACAATCGATGGATGAGAGACCCCGCATTTCAGATTACTTAATTCCCTGACGGAAGGCGTGCTCTAGCCAGCCCACTGCCAAGATATATCCTAACCTCGAGCAGTTCGCGGCGGCATATAATGGCCATATTTGGCGATTTACCCACCCAGACTCTCATTACTAGGCTACTCTGACCATGTCGCTGATATCTATCTAGATATCTCCGAGACTTCCAGGCCAATAGCCACGTCTTGTGCGGCCGACACTTGTCCAAGAAGAGGCAACAGACCGCAAGCACGCCATCCAAACTATTGATCTGCAACCTCGGAAGATATGGTTGCCAAGGAAAATAGTGCGCGACCTAGGACAACCCATCCTCTCAACGTACACGCGTCCTTGTTTTCCGGGACACACGGCCAGGTTCGTCCCTCTCATTGCTCAAAGATTCCGCGGAAGGACAAGATATCTCTACGTTCACCAGGGGTTTCTGTGAACCACAGATAAGAGTTGAAACCAGACAAACGGTCTGCAAACAACTGCAAAAGGTATTTGCTGTTTTTTCTACGGCTGCTCCTATCCAAGCCGCCTAATCAGTTGCTCGTCGTGCCGACCCAAGGTCAGCCGCCAACTGTCGGGCACCGCAAGGAACATGCTCAGGGTTCTTCCCCGCGACTCAATCGAGCCCCTCTTGTGTTTCAGCTAGAAACCTACATAGAGAGCCTAGATGGTTGTTACTGGCTCTATTGTCCTTTGCGGAACCAAGTATAGGTGGTTCTCTCGGATTGGTTGCCCTCAGTTGCTGTGGTAGCATCCCAAATATAACTCATTTCTTAAACTCAGTGACTAAATAGTTGGCATGATCTTGAACATCTCTAAAAGTAATCCCGTTGGAACCGTTAAAAACGCCGATATTTGTTTCCTGGATCTAACTTTCTCGGATGTCAGCGACAGTTTTCGCGGTGCACAGTGCTCATCCACGAGGGTATCCTAAAGTGGGTTCTTGAGCAACACGTACTGTAGCCTCCTTAATATTGTCACTCCCTAGGATTGTCACATCACAGTTCTCCGTCAAGGTTTGCATACCTGGTGGCCCGGTGAACAAGAAATATGTCCTTTGTGCTCGTCATGTGCTAAAATGCCTGTCCCAGCGCGTACAGCATCGATTCTGGCGATGAGTTTGACGCTTTGAGGATCGTGACCTTTCAATAAACAAACCGAAAATAACTTTTCAACGGGATGAACTCTAATTTAAAGTCAATAAAACACACCAGCAGTGGTACTCATACATCCTAGATTGCCAGTGAAAAAAAATCTACCTCGAGGAAGCCCAGCCTCCAGCTGTAACCTTCATACCGGATGGTAGTCCTCTGATATCAGGGTTTACTCTTAGGCTGCGATGTCCGTTGTCATTATGCCATTTCAACCAACCGGGTACTATTACTCAGGTCCCGGGAGCCGCCACCCAGCATCGTAGCGACCAAGGGCTCTGTATTCGTTGCTGGAGTGCTCGACTTCGGTGTCGACAGAGAGGAGAGGGGCGATGTCATCCACGAGTGCGCTTGAAGATTGCGGAGCTTAGAAAATTAGGTACCGAGAGCACTAAAAACTAGGTACTGCGACCGCTGCGAAATACGGGGACTTTCGGCTGCCGTAGCGTGGACCGTGGACCCCGCCACCAGGTCAATAAGAGGAGCATCGTGGTGAGATCCGACACAGGTTAGCCAAGGACGCAACAACTAAGAGGTCTTTCAAGACACTAGCTCTAAAGGCCGATCTTGGCTTGAAGTAAGAATAATTGCTGCGATTACGGGATATCGGACGATACCGGGACGAGTTTATGCTTAAATAATTACGGTATTGCATCAGTGGAGGCGACTGCAGCTCCGGGGTGCAGAACTCATACTGCCATAGACGGCTGGCAGTGAAGTGGTTTCCAGCTGTCTTAGATTTGGACAATATTTTCCTAGCGAGTGATTCCCTATCCGCTCCGAGTTTGGCATCGGTACCGATCGGTGTAAGTTCTTAGGTGCCGCTGGGCGAATTTCGTATTACGTCGTGACAGGTTGCATACCCGGTGGGTGGTCTTGAGGAGAACGCGAAACCTATTGTTGCAAATTGCTAGAGATGAATCTGGCCGTGGGGCGTAAGCTCAGCAGGCTTTGGATGAAATACTGATCTAAGATCCATCTGGTCGACCTCAAAGAGCTATCCTGTTTCTTGGTGCTGAAAATGCGGTTTTTTGTTTAGTTGATGGGCCGAGACTTTTCCCTCGACCGAGCATGCAACTTTTCAATTCTAGGATCTGATGTGACCTAATCGTCGTCTTTCGTTCTGTGCAATTCAAGAACCCTTCTAGTGACAGGAGCTTGTCTCCATCCATAACCGTGGTTGATTCCAACAACCTCCGCCTTCCTCATGGCCCGCGAGTGCGCTAAAAGATTGCTGAGCATCTACTAAAATAAGGTAGCCAGAGTACTAAACATTAGGGAGTTCAGCGCTGTAGAATTAGACTTTCAGCTCCCGTGGCGGGCACCATGCACCACGTGATCCGCTGGCACCCTGCGAGAACACCACTGCGGAAAAGAAAGTCATGGTGTTAAATCCCCGATGTCAATTAAAAAAAAGCAAAAAAAGAAACCCTCTGATGAGGCTGTATAGCAATTGCACGTTTCGATCGTGCGACTGAGGTACTGAGTTAGTTGACGTCGCTAGAGCCGGATTCGAAGGATAGGCTTACCCTCCGGGTTATGAGCCCGGCGCGCTTCCACTGCGCCAAATTGCTTTGACTGGTTGGAAACTGAGCTCCAAAAATTGTATTATAAAGGAAGGGCAACAACACCCGTGCACTCGGCCAGGCCACGGTTGCGACGCTCGGGCTTTGGCTTCCTACACCGGGGTTATTATTTATTGTTAAACTTTTCTTATAGGCCGTCGAAACTCTCTGCAGTAACGGCTGGGCAATTCCCGGAGGTCGGTCTGGAGGTTCGGCCCGGGTCCAGAAGATGGAGTCTAGACACTCGGTCGCCATATCCAGGCCTGAAATGTTCACTTCCGGCTTCCAAGGATTTTTAGACGTTCCAAGTTGATCCACAATGCCACACGAGAACTTCGAGGCGGAATGGGATATTGAATTTCTTGTTCGTTTTACCAGCTGAATACATATTTACGGAACAGACTGGCGCTATTTGAAAACCATCTTAAGCTACAACATTTGTCAGCCCTATTCATGTCCTTCACAATTCTTTCCGCGCAAGAAGTCGCTTCTCGTAAATCGGCCTTTGTCCAAGTAGTTTCCCGAGGTACACCAACCGGTGGTTGCACCGAGTGAAAGCTACATCCCTGTCATGTACAATTGAAGTCCAACGCCTTTGGCGTCAAATCCTTTGTTTTGGGGACTTTAGCATCCTCTCCTAGTCCCAGTCCAAGATGAATACTAATCAATCTCCAAGAGCTCAGAGTCCATCAGGGGCGTCGGCGAACCGCCTGAAGACGGGATCGCTCAGGAGCCTCTCCATGGCCGAGCTCTCGACACCAACAAACGCCTCAACACCACCCCTCTTGGGATCGGGTAGAACAACCTGCATGGTGTGGGTAATTCCAACTGCCGGAGGTCGCAACGCCAGCATGTTGTCACCCAGGGCGGCACCCCACTCAATGTCGTAAAAGGGGAACTCGCGCCACGACGACTGGATCATGTGGTTACCGGGCATGTCGAGGAACACAACAGGTGCGAGGCGATTCAAGTCCTCAAGACGGTCCACGATCGTCATCAACTCATCCAGGTAAGTGCCCTCGGCCTTGATCAGGGCACGTCGGGAGATTATTGCCAAATCGGCAAGCGTCGCCTCGTTGACAACCTTGTCGAGGTCGAGCATGGCAGGGGCAAAGCCAAGGATGTTACCGATGGTATATTTGTGGACCGGAACGCCGGCTCGTCGGCGAGCGTCAAGGGCGATACCCACTTGAGAGAGACCGGGGGCAGCCGTCGCAGCGTCGGCGCGACCGGCAATGACATTCGGGTGCTGGGCCACCATGGTGGAGCGCCAGATGAGTGCCGTCAAGGCATCGTTGGTAGATACGAAAGCTGGGAGATCCGTACCCTTCAACAGTTTGGCATTGGCGGGCGATGCCTCCCTCTTGAGAGCAGCGAGGTTCTCAGGAGAAATGTAAAAGACGTGGCCGTGGTGGTTGGGCGTCGACAACTTGGGAGGGACGCCAGTGGGGGTGAATGGGAGTTCAATGTACTCATGGTGGACCAGGTCCAGCTCAGCATCGGAAGCAGAGGGCTTCATGAGCTTGGCTCGGTCATCTGAGGGGATCTCAACCGGATTTGTGATGGGGAGGCCTTGCGCACGGCGGACATCCTCGGCAAAGATCTCAGTAAACTTGTACGCTGTGGTGTGGTCGGCAAAGGCGTGGAGGAAGAACATGTTCAGCAGCAGGCCGCCGCGGATGAAGTTGGCCTGCATCATGGTGACAGTCAAGTGGTCGCCAGCCTGGGGCCACTCGCCGCCGAGACCGCGCTTGGTGACAACCTCAGGGTCCAAAGCAGAAGCAGGGAAGCCTCGAGCCTTGAGCTCTGCAAAGCTAGGGAAGGCACCATCAGCACGAAGGTCCTTGACGGCAAAGTCGTCGACCTCATCGCCGTAGTGACGCAGCTGCAGCATACCGACCTGCTTTCCCTCCATGGGGATGGCCTCACAGCCAGCAACTGGGGTGCGATCCTTGAAGGACTTGTAGCTGGTCTTGAGGAGCTCGGCCAGGGCGTCCATGTCGTAGTCTTCGGGCAGCTCAAAGAAGAAAATGTTTCGTACCCAACCCTTGGGACCAATCTGCTCGGTAGGGAGGAGGGGAGGGGCCAGATCGGGCGAAGCAGTTACCTCAATGGTAGCCTCATGCTTCTCGTCAAGCTCTGGTCGATCGGTAGATACGACCTCAATCGGTATTGTAGTAGCCATCTTGAAAGATCACGTATGGACTCACTCCTTGAGAAATCAGATGTTTCTTGGGAGTCAGTCTCGAGTAAATAGTAATGATGAAAAGGTTCCTGAAGGATTGAGAGTGAAAGGATTGAAACTTGAGTCCAGGCTGCCCATAATTATGCAAAAGCGGCATGACAGGTCGCTGATCATATACTCTTGCAGAATCGTTATCTCCCTGCATCTCCCCTGACAACGTTTCGGGCGCGTCCAGGTGCCAGAAGGGTCTCTGGGGGAGTTGAATTGGGTTGTCTAGTTGCCCATTGGGAAAGAGCCCTTGCTTCCATGTCGATTGATGGCGGGCGTTGCACATCCAGACACGCCATCAAACCCGCCCATGATACGACGTCTGCGGTGCCTGGCGAAAGGTTGTTGGTTGATGTGCAGTTCGCTCAGGGATTGCTCGGTACCACCGGCCAGATTTAGAGAATTCTGCGACGCTGGGTGGATATGTTGAGGCTGGATTGGGAGTACGTAACCCAGGTATGCGGTCCTATCTGGACGCGGTATCAGGAAACCCACGTGTTGGTTCAGGTAGTTGCAACGTTGTGCTGAGGCATGTGCAGAGAGCGGTCCGTGGAGAAGGAAACGCGTCGGAAATAAACGCACACGCCAAAGAGCAGCTCGTGGACGCCTGTCATTCCTTGCCGATCAAAATATCCGACCTCCTCCGATGGAATCGCCGGGAGCTTAGAGACCCCCGGGCAACCTCCGGGCGGGCCCGGCTCCACCGAGCCCACTCCCCGACTCCGTGTTTCAGGGATTCCAGTCCCCCTTACCACCACAGTAGGAATCGCCAGGAACACATGGATGCCGGAACCGGGGACTTCCTTCCTGCAGCGCGGTGCGGCGTAGCATCCGCAGCGGAACCGTCATGCCACATTGCTCCGTTTTCTTTTTTACTCGGGCGTGGGAACTCCCATATGGTGTCAAACGGCATTGACCTGCAGGACACGACCAGTAATGATCGTCCAGACCGTGGATATGCATGGATATAGCTGGATAGAGTCGGCGAGCAGTTCCCCGTGCCTGCATATACGCCGCGGAACCAACAAGCTATTAATGAAGAAGTCCCGTGTGCCAGACCAACCCCGTGGGTACTAGTAACGAACCCATCCCAACCACCATCGCATGCTGTTGGTTCGTCGTCATTCATTCACTGGTTGAAGGGAAGCAGAACTTGGGGATCATGACAGTCGACCCGGCCATTCTGGCCATCTTTGGACCGGCCCCAGATGGCCTCGACCTCGACGAGCAAATTGTCACGACTTACAATGTCGTCGTGTGTGTTGCGCTGGGCATCGCCGCGGCTTTTGTTGGGCTTCGGTTTTACGTGCGTCTGTTCAAGGGATCTAACCTTTGGTACGATGACTGGGCCATCGTCTTCGGCATTGTAAGTTTCTTCATGGTCGCGTTAACGGCCTCGGCATGAGGGATTGGAACTAACCATCATCTACTCAACAGTTTTGCACCAGCGCAACAGTAGCAACCACGATTCTGGGTAGGTGAGGAGCGATTAACCCCCGTCCATTCACACTTGGTCACTCACATCCACCCCTTATAGCTGGAAATCATGGCGCCGGCGAGCATATCTGGTCAACTAACATCTCCCGATTCATCAAGCTCATCAAGGTATGCGGCATCTCAAAAGTCCAGAAGAACAATGAATTGACCAGTTACCTAGCTTGTGTACGCAGAGCCCTACGTTTACGCATTAGCCGTCACATCCACCAAAGTCAGCATCCTGCTGCTCTACCACCGCCTCTTCCGCTCAAAAAACGACTCGAACCGCGTCTTCACGATTATGTTCTGGGTGGCCGTTTTCCTGACGAGTATATACCCACTGATTCTATGGATTACCATGGCCTGCGCTTGCCGGCCGGTCAGTTACTACTGGAACCAATATCTCGGAGCAAAGGGCACCTGCATCGATACCCACCTATTCTTCCTCCTACTTGGCATAGTCAACATGCTCAACGACATTATAATTCTCCTCGTTCCCATCCCGAGAATTTTACAACTACACTTGAAGAAGAGAGTCAAGGCATCCATTGTCGGTATTATGTTGCTCGGAAGCTTGTAAGTCCCTTACGTCCCTCCCCACCTTGGCGATCAGAACTGATTTATCACAGTGTTTGCGTTGCGAGTATTGTGCGAATTTACTACCTCAACGGGCTCTTCAAGAATGTCGACGTCGCATGGTGGATGGGTCCCTCTTTCGCCTGGTCCAGCATTGAACCGTCAGTGGCCATCATCTCGGCATGTCTGCCTACACTGGCGCCGTTATTTCGCATGGGCCGGAATAAATCTACGAGCAGCCCTTACTATGTCAGTGGCGATAGAACTGGCCAGTCTGCGACGGGAAACTTGCATTCGCGCAATGTCCATGGCCGCTACAACGCCGGGCATTCGAGGATTGAGGACGACGAGGTCGAGCTCACATACAAGGTGCAGGGCGGTGACTCTTCGTCAAACCGCAGCCCGGAGAGTCAGGGGAGCTCGGAATATGATCGTAACATCATGGTCAAGACTCATGTGTCAGTTGTGACACAGGGACGAGAAGATCCTGCACGACGCAGGCAGGGTTGATTGGCAGTCGAAAAGGTGTTCTTGTCGCTATAAAATTGGCCAACTGCCGATGGTGCGCAGAACAAGACCACAAGACGTCTCGGGTAGGTTGCAGCACATGGGAGCGCATTCTCATCAAACAGCTAAGACGCGTCATTGCGTTTGCTTGTCTTCTAAACTGTCCACAGTGATAGAGCTCATTCTGTACAAATCATTCAAACACATACAATTAGAC